AGCGGCATGGATTAGATCCTGTAGGGGGGAAATGTTTTTATTACCATTTATGCGTCGAAAACGTAATGAAGGTCTGCTTTCACCCTACCCCTCTTCGCTTCTGTCTATCCTCCCCTATCCTCCCTCTTGCTGTTCAGTTACTGCCCTAACTGTCCGGTGGAAGGACCGCACGGCAGTGGAGGTTGCTATGCTCGCCGGCCGGTTATCCAAGAACTTCGATCTGAGTATCTTACGTCGGCACGCTTTTTCGCTGCGAATCGGCGCCCTACAGCGTCATATCGACGCTTCTGGCTCCGATATAGCGTTCCTATGGCTACGGATGGTTCCTGGAGGACAGATCTGGCACGCGTCCCTTGATCAGGCTCAAATAGAGAAATGGTGATGTTTCCGACTGCTTCTTAGCGCCGATTGGTGTTCCTAGGTTCCGGTGGTGCCATTGATCCCATGGCATGTTCTAGATCGCCTATTGGGGAGGATTGACGTTGTCGACGACTTCATGTTGGTTGCGTAGTCACTCTCTTTTCTGTTTGTTGATTATTTTTGTTTGTTTTAGTTGTCTTTGATTTTGCGACAGTTCTTAATTTCTTATTGATGTGTTTGTGCTCCGAGATTATGTAGGGAAGAAAGTGCTTTTTTATCTGTAAATTTTGGAATATTGATTTAATGTTGGGTGAAATTATTGAAGTTTGTTTCCTGTATTAGGGTTACTGTTTATGAAGCTTTTCATTTACAAGAACCATGTGAATTCATGAGAACGAAAAACTGGAAACCTGCAATGACTGCATTAAGATCCTAGCGTTAGAAATTCATTAAAATGTTGGCAAGGATGCAGGTTTCCTTTGTCTGTCTGCATTTTCCTGACACCGAATCTTGTTTTCATGTGTTTGTGTTTACTTCTAAGAATTTGTTTGTTTTATTTTTGTTTATCCTTTAATTGTTTGATAGCCAAGAACTATGTGGATTTTGAAAAGAGCATGGAATTTGATTGCCCACTTGCCTTTATTTTCCCTTCATCTATCCCTTCAGTTGCTGGAAATTCCTTGGAAGGAAATATATATAATTGCAAATTCCTTTACCTTAGGTGTAGGCTAGAATTGATGAGCTTTTAGTTTTTCTATTCCAATGCTTCTTATTTGATAAATTCAATTGCTTGACACAAGGAATTATGGTTTTGATAAATATGACTTGTTGATGATACATATGACTAATCAGTAGCTGATCTGGTGCCTACCAGAGATTAGAGAGGCTGTAGTTACTGCTACTAGAAAGTGAAAACATCAATCTTCTTCTAATTAGCATTTTCATTAATTTTTTGTTAGAGGAAGTAGACAGAAGGTTCTTATTTTCACTGGTTTCAAACAATGATTAATGCAGTGTCATATTTTTAAATTTATTTTTCTGGCCTAAAGATTTTTCTGAATCTGAATAGAGTTCAAAATTTCTTTACTATTAGGAGTTGATTTTATCATTGATGACTTGTCATAATGTTGGGAGATTGAAGAAACATTGTGTAAATGTAGGCAAATGAAGGTGAGGGGTCATTGCCATGGAACGAGCACAGTCATGTTTTCAATTTAATGGAGAACGACAATTGGGCATTCCAAGCAAGTTGTTTTGAGGAGGTGAGGTCTAATATTTTGTTTGAGATCGTAAGAGAGGTAAATTATAATCATTTTGGACAGGATAATGCGTTCCCATCAGGATTCTTATTTTGTTATAATCATTAACTGTTGATACTAGAAGTACTTGATATTAACCAGCAAGAATAATTTTGATTATTTGTTTGATACTACCAATTATTGACTGCAGATTGTGAGTGGAAGGCTCAGGCAGGGAATGTCTGTGTCACCTCATTCGATTGGACCTGCAGTGGGATCTGCAAATCAGTCGAGAGGATGAAGGATGTTCACCGAAGGTGTGGAGAGGGTGAAAATTCACTATGGCATGCAGTTTTTTGAAAAACAATATTGCCTCCAAACTCAGGGGGATGCATGTAGGTGGGCCAAAAAAAGAGAGGAAACACCCAGATTTCTTGGGCTGGTTCGAACAATTTGTATACAGAAAATGAATGTAATTTCAAAATGTAAGACAACATAGAATCGGGAGGGAGAAAGGTCCATGCAGCTTAAGTTTCTTCTCCATTTTGTAGGAGGAAGAGACCCCAATAGCTGTAGTAATGAGAGAGAGTGTGTTTGTAATTAGCCATTCTTCAATTGCTTCCAGTGGGGGCATTTTGTATGTCAACTCCATAATAAGTGCCGATATTTGTGCTACCATTTTCTTCATGTACTGCTTTTATCTTCAACTTTTGATCTGTATTTTGCCCTTTTTTCATCATTCTCTCCTTTGATGATCTCTTTCCATCGCTTTCCCGGGGAAAAGATTTATGAATCAATGTAGTTAAGTCCGTCTTGTGGCCATATGAGTGAAGAACCCTAGAAATGTACGTATAGGATAGGATGGATCCAAAACAACAGTCAAAGTGCTCACCAAAATCTTTCACTTGGAGAGACGAAATATAGTTGGTTGATTCTTTCAGAGCCAAGAAAAGGGGAGATCACACACCTATAAGACATGGAATCAACCATGGAATTCTATACAAGATAATCCTAAAAAAATAATGTAACATCATTTCTCATCTGAAAAAGCAGAACCACTGCTTCTCACTCCTTCCAATAAAATCTCCCCACATTCCTTCCCACTTCTGAGACCCTTCCAACTTTCTAGCCCTTCCTTTCACACTGAGGAGGATTATGTTTTACCTAACCCCAAATACCCATCATATAAATCCAACATCTTCCTAATCATTTTCTTCCCCATTTTCTCATTAAAGTTTCAATCTTTTTTGTACCTGAGTTTGGGTTTTTGCTCTACATTGAAAGATGAGAAGCAATCTGGAGAACAACAGCTCAAATACCCACATCCCAATCCTCAAGTTCTTGGATTGTTCTCTGAGGCTTTCTGTGGTTCCTCTTAGTGTTGCAACAATATGGATAACTGTGACTAATGACCAGGAAAACAGTACCTATGGAACCATAAAGTTCAGCAATCTTTTGGGACTCAAGTAAGAAATCTTGCCTTCTTTTATGTTCTAGCATTGTTAATTGCTTTTCTGCTTGTTTCCCTAAGAAAGTATTGAAATGGTTTTTCACAGGTATATGGTGTTCATTTCTGCCATATGTGCCGGTTATGCTTTTGTCGCAGTTGTGGCTTCATGGTTCAAATACTTAGTTTCCAAAGCTTGGATTTTCTTTGTCTCAGATCAGGTTTTCCCTCAACATAACTTCCTAATGTTCCTTGGTTAACCCGATAGGATCTTGTCCATAGATTGGCCTAATTTCTAAAATAGTTTCTTGCCTGAAATTAGGCCAAATATGTCTAAAAATAAAATTAGAGTTTTTGGAGAAGTTATTCAACTTCTAGAATGTTAAAACGCTCAAGATGCACATTTAAATTAAGTTTAATAAAAAAGAGATTAAGGCCAACAAACTAATTAAGTCATCCAGTGCTAATCTTTTTTTTAGTAGAAGTAAAAAGTCCCCCAATTTGACTCACAAAGCATGTGGATAGAATGAGTTAAAAGGATGAAAGAGAATTATTTCTTATTGTGCAACCGAAATTAAAAAAAATAAAAATAAAAACAAAGAAAAGAGGTTTATGACACATTAATATCTGTAATTTGCTCTTTCTTATGTTACCTTTCGTTGATGGGCATTAATATTTGGGCAGATTGTAGCATACTTGATGGTAACATCAGGGGCAGCAGTGACAGAGATACTGTACTTGGCTTACTATGGTGATCAGAAAGTGACGTGGAGTGAAACCTGCAGTTCATATGGGAAATTCTGCTATAAAATGAAAGTAGCCTTAATTCTCCATGCCTTGGTCTTCTGCTGCTTCATTTTCTTGGCTGTGATTTCTGCTTATAGGGTGTTTAGTATGTTTGAGCCCCCTTCTCTTTCTTCTAAGGAAGGGGAGGAAGAAAGGACATAGAATTACTATCCTATCTTCCTCACAGGCTTTATGCATGCCAC